TGCCTTCCCCCTTCCTCCGCCGTCGAGACCGGGAAGCGAAACAAAGGGGCGGCCGCGCCGAGGGCCCGGGCTAGTTTTCCTGCAGCCCCGCAGCTCCTTCTGGAGCGGAGGCGCCTTCTTTGTTTTGCTGCCCAAGCTGGCGGCTGGCCCCGGGGAGTAGCTGCTCCAGTCCAGGGAGAGTGGAGTCCGGCCACGACCTGCCGTCGTAGGCGAGGGGGTCCCCGCGTTCCTCGTTCCCCGAGATGCCGGCGCCGGCGGGGAGCCGTGTCGGCGGCGGCAGCATCTAGGGCAGCTGCATGGATCGTGGGGAGCACGCAGCCTCTGCGGTTTTGCCATCCGTTTGGCAGCCATCCATCCGGGTTTCTTTTTTCTTGCTTTACACGTCTGTTCTTTTGACCATCTATGAAGTTTTTAGGAACCACCTTCTCCACTTTTCCGAGCGCTGGCCCGCGGTAATAAATAAGATGTCAGAACCAGCACACGTTTTGCGTATTTTTAACTTGCTCTTAGCTTAAAGGTTACTTTAAAAGCCTATTAAGTCAGTCCTTGTTTTTTTTTTCCTTTTTAAGGAGTAACTATTGATATATGAGACCCAGTATTTCAAATGTCACTATACAACTCTCAAGACTATGTAATTCAAGTTTTTGAAAAGTTTATTTGGGATACTTTCTGCCTTCTTTAAGAGTTAGTTCTTTAGTTGTGTTCATGAGAAACTTCTCAGGTAAATTTGAATAATTTCACATTGCTTTGGTTGGAAAAACGTTATTACAGATAAATGCATTTATTTAGTACTCAGAAAAGTTCAAATTTAAATTTAATTTACAACTTGTAATTCAAATTTAAATGTAGTTAAGGTATGAAATTAGCTCGTTTCTAAAAATGGATAGTTTTGTATCCGGTCTATAATTTTGAGTATTTAGAAAGATTAGGAAATATGCATTATGATTTTAAAATATGCTCTAAGTAGAGAAAATACTATCAAATAGCAAGTTGTGGGCAACATCATTTTTCCCTTGTTAAAAAACAGCATGACCTAACTAATCTAGTTCACTGTCATTACAATTTGATGACAGAACCTAGAGGGTTGGAATTTCTCATTCTCCTCTGCGTCTCTCCCTTCCGGTGCTGGCATCCCTCCACCGCCTCCTCTTAACAGTATTGTCACACAGGGTATATTTAACTGGTTGCAGGACTTAAAAGAGTAGAAAGAAACATACATCGTCTTAACAATAGCCTGTTTGGACTGTTTTTATTTTTAATAATTGTGAATTATGTATTTTACTAACACATAGACACATTTTACTGTAATCATAAGTATGTGAAACTTTTCTGTTTCAGGCAAGGCATCTTTACATTTGTGATTATCATAAAAACTTAATTCAGAGTGTTCGAAACAGAAGAAAGAGAAAAGGGAGTGATGATGATGGAGGAGATTCCCCTGTGCAAGATATCGATACTCCAGAGGTAGATGAAAGTTTTTGTATGTTAAATGTAAATCTTATGTGCTCTATTATGACAATTTTATGAAGAGAGATGAACAAATTTTAAAAATACGTAAAGCACTGGAAAGTCTGAAAATGAAAGCAAAATTAAATATAGCCATTTAACATGCAGTTACACAATTTGACTTGTTATATTTTCAGTTGACGACTCTTATAGCTCTGTTGTCATTGGTTTTTTTTTTTTGCCCCCAGTTTTTAATATTTATCCTCAAAAGATTGAAGTGTTTAATACACTTGTAGATTTGATTATATAAAAAAGTTTTTTTGTCCTTTTTTTTTCTTTTTTGGGGGGAGGTGTGGTAGTTAGATTTATTTGGTTTTTTAATTGCTTTTTAGAGAAGGTGCTGGGAATTGAACCCAGGACCTTGTGTATGCTAGCATACGCTCTACCACTTGAGCTATGTCCTCCCCCTAAGATGGTTTTTAAATAATGGAATTAAGTTTTTATTGTGTTGAAATTGAAGTGTTATTATACATATCAAAGATAAGTTTTTAGCAAATTGTATGAACTAATTCATATATGTTCATTTTTTTCTAGGTTGATTTATACCAATTACAGGTGAATACACTCAGGAGATACAAAAGACACTTCAAACTCCCAACCAGACCAGGACTTAATAAAGCACAACTTGTTGAGGTATATATGAGTTTTAAACTATTTCACCTTTAAATGAGCCTGTTCATACAAAATAAGGTCATTAAATACTAATGACATTGTTAATGTAGTGGATATATCAATACAGTTTAGTTAGAAAAATTGAAGTTAATAAAAAAAATCTATTGTGGAAGAATCTAGCTGCCTAGAAATGCTTTCTGCTACTTAGGAAATTCCTTTATGTAAGGACTACTCAAAGGATTGTGTGCAGTTTTCTAAGCACCTTCTAATACTGACTTTCAGAAATACTGAAAGTTTTTTTTTATTCTCATTCTAGAAATCTGTTCCGTTTAAAATTCTATTTACTCAGTAAACATTTATTTAATACCTACTTGAGGCATAATAAGATAAGTTAATAAGCTTTGATGTCTTCATTAGAATTTATTTTTTGAAGTTTTGGATGGAATAGGTTTGATGGATAAGCCCTTGAACAGTATTCCCGTAACTTGCAGAGTTAACTGTTTCAGAACTTGTCCTTGTTGCTGTTAGTTTGTTTTATTTCAAGCATCCATATTTTCATACCTAGAAGATGAAGACTTTTATTCAAGCTTTTACTTGTAGTTTCTTTGATACAGAGTTTCTAGTCCTTTAGTGGATTTTGAAAAGTTGAGTATGTTTGTGTTCTCAGGAAATAATAGAGCCAAGAAATCTGTGCATCATATTAAGATGTTTACAGATTTATGTATTTATACTTCAGTCATGTTTAAAATTAAAATGCTTGACCTACTCAACAGAATATAAATGTAAATATATAAATCAGTTTTCTCATATTCTTCAGCTTGAATTTAGTAATCCAACATTTTCTAAAATGTACATATTGAGTAAGATAGAAGACAATAAAAGGTACAGTTCTTTGGCAGAATGCCTTGTAACCTTGTTGAGATCCAGTATATTAACGTTTTGGCCAGAATCTCTTCTTTTCTTCTTGCCTAGGCAACAAAAATCTAATTTTTCTCCAAATCTGATTTAAAAGATTGCATCCTTTTTGGATTGTATAGTACATTAATATAACATAAATATAAATATTGCCTGCTGTGATGAAACTATCCATATACATACATGTACTGATCAACTGAAGGTACCTTTGCTTTGGGACAAGTGAGAACTGAAGAACTGATTATTTTAAATGTTACATTTAAATGTATACTTTTTTTAATGAATAAATCAAACCTGAAGTCTTTGATAGTCTGATCTTTTTAAAAATTGTATTATTTCTAGAGCTATTTTCTTTTTTAGAAATAAGAAATGCAAATAGCCATGAGTGCTACAGATTAGTCAGAAATGCAGATATTTATAAATGATTCCAAAGTTGAATGACTGTTCTCCTTCAGTCTCTGAATTGTCTTTAAGAAGTTTTATCGTCTAGAATGTAAACG